GGGGGGGGGTAAAAACTACGGCAAGCATTGATGTGCTCCGAGCCTCAAACAAATACTTTACTCCGAATAGCATAAATCCAGGTCCCAACTCCTAGGTGATATCGAGGGAACACGAGCCCAGCGCTGAATCTGATCAGTGTCATTTCTGACCAAATATTAGCGTCAGTAATAGTACCAGCACTACTATCATTCAGCTACACTGCCAGTAAGCAGCAGTATAAATAGTAGTAGCAGCAGTAGCAATATCAAACTCGGTCGTTCTGGACACCTGCTGAAGATGAGTGAGGGTAGATAATGCAGTTGTACCAGCGCAGTACAGGCTACTGTCACTTAAGACTAAGTTAGGCGGTGTTTCTGGTCTGCATTGGAGAGAGCGGCTTACGCCTGATTCCTACTAGGTCATCTCGACTCTGTCTTGTCACCGGTTCAAGCAAGGAGAGGATTTAGAGTGTGGTAGATGACTGCTCGTCTACCTTCACTATACCTGACTACAGTCATGATCCCTGCACTTGGGCATATGGTGGATAGCATCGAAATAAATCGTGGAACTATCACCTACCCTCCACTTCATACATAACCTGTCGGTTGTCCATGCCTAAAATGTGAGGAGGTGAACTAAGTGGTATACATAAGGACAAGAGTACTTCTTGAAATAATCTGATACGAATTTCTGCATATTGTCTCCAACCAAACCATGGATGGGGGCACGGCAATCTCGAACAAAACGGGCTGCGTCAACAATGCGCGGGGGGGTGTAAACACAAAGATCCGCCGCTCAGTCGCCGTCGCACGGACCCAGACACAATAGCTGAGTAAACGACGCGCATCGCATCATCGGCCGGTGAGTCACCAAACATACGTGAATACCACGTCATTTTATCTAGGTGGTGGAATGGAAAAGCTGTTGCGGCAGAGTCTGAGACGTGGGCGGATGATGTGACGCGCACATCGTGCAGACATATTACACGAATTGGCAAGAGTTCCGGTCAGACAGGCACCTGATAGGAGGAGAGTTTCATTTACTACGGACATGCGCTTGTCTACAGAAACAAGCACGAAGTAGACGTAAACAAATGGCCAGTCGCAAATTACTTTCAACGACAGTTAGTCAGAATACAATAGCGAGGCACGCAATGTATGCGTCATGCATGCAATTTGTATTAAAAAAAGAGTTGCGGTTATTTCGTCTATAGGTAGGCAATTCGTCTGTAAACGTTCGGCGGTCGAACGGAGGATGCAAATTTACTGGCCCTGCGAGGGAGGCAAGCGCATCGCCAATTGAGTGCTTCCGGGGTGGGGATAAGTCTCCCGACTCCAAATTTATTCTCCTTCTTCCGGGACGACAAAAGGCCCTCGAACGCCGTCTGCCCACTAGCCAACGCTTCGCGCAAATACTGGAGAGTTGTACTACCTCAGCTGGAAAAGAAGCCGGCTGCTGGGTCTAGCTTCGCGTGCGAAGCGGCAGCAATGTTTGCCAGACACAACTACTGAAAACCAATCGGCAGGTCAGTTACCTATAAAAAAGTCACAAGCTATGACGAGATTACGATGTGAGGCATACTTCCTGGCACACAATGAGGCCTCCTAAGAGGTCCTCCTCCGGCAGAACCCTAAAGTGGAGGACCTGGAGCGTTACATATCCGGATCCAGGGATTGCAGCGAAGGATCTCCCAATACGCCTACCAGAAAACCACACAGCAGCAAATTACGGCTAACACCAACAGACTACCAAAAGACTACGCTCTGCGCGCTTTCTTTGGACATTCTGAAGAACAGAAGCATCAAACACTAATTTCCAGACTAGCAGCAATGACAAGTGCCTTGGCCACAATTATCAACGAATCAGCACGTAAAGAATTGCAATTCGGTATAATCACAGTCATCACAATGTTTGCTGACAATTTAAACTTTTGGAAAGTCATCGGCAAAGAATATGATGAAGCAAAGTTGCAGGCAAATTTGCATCGACTCGAGCAATGGTCGAACGACTGGTTCCTGCCATTCAATGTTACCAAATGCAATACTATGCGCTTCGGCAGAACCAGCATTGAGCATCGGGGGGTGTATTACCTAAATCACATATCGTTGCCAGAGGTAGAGGCTCAGAAGGACCTCGGGGTGCGGATCACGCCTTCACTGAAGCCAAATCCGCAATGTCCAGCTTGTATCTAATCAAGCGCGCCTTTGCTAAGTTCGATGAAGGATGCTTTGGTAAGGGATGTTTGTGTGACCCCAATTAGAGTTTTTCATCTAAGCTTGG